TTAGGCTGTTTGGGAGCCTATAGTGGGGAGTTGCTAGGAGGTTGTGAAGTGGTTTCTTGTGCTGAGAATAGAGTTTATAAATATGTATGTATCAGTGTTTTTGATGGATTGATGAAAATTAGGGTTAGATTGAGTATTTTTAGGAAGAATTGAGTGGTAAAGTAAGGAGAAGGTTGTATGTGTTGTAGAGTTTTGTTCCTTCTTCTTCTTCTAGAGTTGAGGATAGGGAAATACTTCAGGAGCGATAGTCAGAGAAGTATTTGGTGGAGCATCTTCAAGTTGTTGCAAAGGAGAAGAATGTAAGTGATTGTGTATTTCATTTGTTGCATTTCCTTAAACATACCATTTAGTGGAATTCTCTTTTTTTTCAAATGACGTTTAATGAATCTGTGTGGTGCCCTTTTCATGCCTTTTGAGTAGTACTCTTTACCAAACCTTGTGATGATTAAGTAGGATGTGTAGGAATGTTAAGTGTTGTGAAACTATATTTTTTTAATGTAATGATTAACCTTCATATCTTCATTTACTATTCATCTTGGTCAAGAAAAATGTTAAAATGTGTTATCAACCATAACGAATCGTGAGAGTTATGGTAAAATCAACTGGGTTAGTCACGTTGAATAGTTGGGAATATTTTGATATGTCTCGTAGGGTGATGCAAATGTTAGGGAAATATTTTGTGACACTTCAAAACAGAATTTATAACAAATAAATCTGATAGGTTTTACTCTTCAATTCATTTCTTGGATTAAGGCATGTACCGATCAAATCTCATTTTTTATTATGTTGCAATGTGAGCTTCACAGGTTTTCAATTCCTCTACTAACTTAAGATAGGGTTGTCCCTTCTCACTATACATTTTTACTATTATGATGGACTCTTTTGCATGCTTTCAAGATAACACTTGACATTCTATGAATATTGTTTTCTAGTTGTCAATATTCTCATTCATGTAGATGATTCATTAGTATTTTGCAAAGCCAACTCTCAGTTCATTTTGGAGTTGCCTCAGCCTCTTTTCACTTTTCATATGGCAACCAATCTTCAAGCTAATCCTGCTAAATTTTTTATTTGCTTTTATAAATTTGTTCCTCCTCATAAATGTTCTTATTTAAGTGAGATGATTGGCTATCAGTTAAAACCACTCCCGTAGAAATATCTTGGCATTACTATACACTCATCTAGAGTCTATAACTATCCTACAATACTTGAGAGAAAGCAATCCACTTTGTGTGGATGGAAGCAGAAGTTACTCTCCTTTGCCGGGAGGTTCCAACTTATTAGATACAATATTTGGAGTTATCTACATTATTGGTTAAGAGCCACCTCTCTTCCTAAAGGCTTGAGAAAGACTATTTCATCTCTCATTAATAAATTTCTATTTTTTTTATCGAAGTGGCTCAAATAGTAAATGCATATTGTAGTCTGTAACATAACAACAAAGGCTAGACACTGCGGTGGGTTGGGTCTTCCAAACCTTAATGCATTGAATAACATGAGCAAAACTAAGCTTATATGGAGAATTTGCAATTATGGCTCTATTCTCTCTATATGGTTCTTTCACTATTATGGTTCTTTACTTCAGGTTGGCAAGGGCTCTCATTTTTTGCATTGAAAAGAAGCACTTGAAGCTTTCAAAAGGTTCAGAGAAGGCTTTAAATTTTAGGTAACAAACACGGTCAGATCTTCTTCTTTAATCCATTGGTGGATGGACCTTCTCTTTATAAGCACTTAGGTAGCTCTATATTGGCATGGTTTGGTTTTCCTCAAACTACTCCTATTTTTGCGTTAATATCTTCAATTTCTTGGGCACTTTCCTATAATCATCAAACCAACATAGAATGTGTTACCTTCATTCTCAATTGTGCTTGGTTGGGCAAGCCCGTTATTGCTCGTTGAGAGATTTACAATTTCCTTTACTTTGATTCTCCTGTTGCGACCTGGAATAAATTAATATGATTTAAAGGTTGTTCTCTAAATTTTTCTACTTTTACCTGGAAAATTTTAAATAATGGGCTCATGACCACTGATGTTTTGATATCTACAAGCTACAACTTACAAAATATTTGCATTTTTTGCAAATATAGTTTTTTTTAACTGCCCCCAATCCTTTCAACAACTAAAATTAAGCTCTCCACTTTTTTGCATCATTTATATGGAGTGTACTTTTCAACAATATTTCTCTATTGCTGACTATTTAAGTTGCAATATCTCCAAGAGGTTCTCTCTTCTTGCCATACAAGTTATTGCTCATTATGTTTGGTTTGAAGGAAATGCTCGTACTTTCAGGAGTATTACCTCTAACGAGGAGACAATGTTAAATCACATTAAGTGTTCTATTAAATGCAAAAGTACAAAGTGGGTGTTTTACTCTCATATTCCCTTCCTCATTGTTCTCTTTACAACCTTTGCAACCATTCACCATAACCTTATTATTGTTTTTTTAAATGGAATTTATGTAATATATCTGGACTTGGCTGATATTCTAATTCACTTTGGGAGTACTTCTGAGTGCATTTATGCATTCTGGAAAGTAATTCTTACATTTTGCGCTCATGGTTTAGGCTTAACAGTGCAGGTCATTTTTTTGCTTTGATGGACTTTTCTGTATTTTGGCTGGATTATATGATGTATGGTGATCATTATCAGCTAGGACTATTTTACACCATTGATGGGTTTACTACTTTTGCTTACAAGCTAGTTTCATTCACCATATTCTCTTTTTATGGGTTGTTTTGGATGACATTTCTTTTTTTTTATATAAAATTAACGTTGTCAATTATTTTTTTTACATGTTTCATTCCCTTGCTAGTTGATGATGATTTTGGCTGCTTTCGTACATCAGTTTTTGGTTTTGGAGTTCAATCGAACATTTTGTCCTAGATAGAATTTCTAATCTCATGCTTCCTCTTGGCATTTTGGAGACCAATGTTGATATCCACAACAAAAAATATGTTTAATCATTTTCTTGTAAGTTTTAATTTTTATATAACTAAGTTCTGTTGGGGACGGCCCTTAATTTCCAAAAATAAAACAAAATTCATGTAAGCGTGCATGTATGTGAGGGCAGTAAAAATTTATCAGAAGACTGATGCAACATACAATCACAAAATGCACATTTGTAATCATTAAATCCAAAATCTTGAAACAATTTTTTTTAAACAAATTTCGCAAATCATGAACAATCCGTACAATCATTAGTGGTGAAATACATATCCCAAGGAGATCAAACACAAATGAAAAGGTTTAAGGCATGCACGTTCCAATTCAATTAAAATAAGTAGAACGAGAAAGATAAATCATTCCTACTCCATACCTGCCCAAATACATCTATTCAACACTCTTACCCTAAACCAAATCACCACCCAATTCCCAGACCCATTGCCAGCATGCTTCAAAACAAACAACGTCAGCATTTCCCTTTAAAATAAATATCTGACCTATTCTGGACCTTATTGTTTTTCATCACCACTCTGCTTCCATTTAAGAAAAACAAACAAAGGATCTAACAAAATCCAATTGAAAATTTCAGAAGCTTAAAAGAAAATTCCTAAATATAAAAAATGGAAAAGCAAACATCTTCTTTGATTGCTTTTGGGTCAAAGATAGAAAGAAAAGTCCTCGTCAACGGCCAACGATAAGGTCAGTCAGACTACCGTCGGCAAAGTCAGTCAGTTGTCTTCCCATAAACCACTTTTTAGTCATTTCTAGAATGCCTTATTGTCAGCATGAAGCTTCCCCACGCTTCTGTTCATGTTACGTGAACCAGGAGATGTTTAATTCATGAATCAGTAATTTAATTAAAATTTGAGTGTAAAAGAAATTTTTTTCTTAAACGATGGGCATATAAAAATGGGATTTTGCAGGTGGGAAAGACCAGTTCGTGCAAACCGAGGCAGTCGAAATGAAGTGTTTGAAGAGCACTCATCAGTCAAAACTTCAGAGGCTCGTCTTTGAATACTGAAGATGAGCACCTCCTTTTCATTGAAAAAGAGCAAAAAGTCGTATGATCTGTATGGTTAGGTGGACCAACACATTGGGGAAAAAACTAAATCTTGGTTTGAATTTGCTTTAAAAATTTTAAATTAAAATAATATATGATAAGTATTTTACCCTTATTGTATTTATTTAAAGTAAATTTAATGATTTCAAAAATAATCTTGCCAGATGATTGTTAAATTGTATTATGAATTTATGGTGTCATTTATAAAATAAATTTTTAAAATTCATAATCCATGATGGCAAGCTACTATATGCATTAAATAGTATGCATCAAATGAATCAGAATATTCCTACATTTTAGATAAATCCTTCAAAGTTTTCCTTTTCTTATTTATGATTTACAACCATTCTAAGGTTTTCTATTATAAAATACTATTATACATACATTAAAAATTTATGTGACGTATTTACTTTCTGCATCAAACTTTGATCAAAACTGAATCCGATGAGGAATTATTCCATACGGACACTAAATGCATGTGATGTCCGATTTTCACTGTGACAATCAAAATTAAAAAAAAAATGAAAGTGGGGTCTACCAAAATACATCTTTACGGTGTCGACGGTGTAGTTTATGTGACGTATTTACTTTCTGCATCAAACTTTGATCAAAACTGAATCCGATGAGGAATTATTCCATACGGACACTAAATGCATGTGATGTCCGATTTTCACTGTGACAATCAAAATTAAAAAAAAAATGAAAGTGGGGTCTACCAAAATACATCTTTACGGTGTCGACGGTGTAGATCGAATATCTATGACAAAATTTAAAAAAATACAGAAATAAAAGGACAGCCATGTAACAACAAATTGAGACTAAAATTGCAATTTTGCAATTTAAAAAATGTTAATATAAACAAAAAGAAAAACAAAAACCTTCACCTTTTCCGCTCCATCCGCCAAAAATCTCAGAATTTTATGAATCATGTACAAATGTACTAAAAAAAATTTAAGTACATCATAGAATTAAAACAAAAAAGAAAAAAAACGAAAATTTCAGAAAAAGAAAAAAAAAAGCCCTCAATGAACTTAATTTCCACCGGCTAAGAGCAAGGAGAAATCGAATTAATGGTGATTACTAAGGACAATCAATCCAAAGAAACGAAAGAAATGCTATTACTGGATCCGCTCCCATTAGACGCCTCGCAGAGCGCAAGCGCGCTTTCCAAATTCATCACCACATCCGACATTGCCGGTCGGTCTTTCCCTTCCAAGCTCACGCAGTGCACGGCGGTGTACGCCACCAGTTCAACGGCCTCCGCCTCCCTTGGCCCCGGTGGCGCCACCCGTGGGTCGAGCACCCGCCCAAGCTCTCCGCCGGCAATGCTCGGCGCTGCATAATCAACCACGCTCAGCGGTTCCCCTCCTTCCCCTTCTCTAAATATCGCCCGCCTCCCCGTTAATACCTCAAGCATCACAACACCGAAGCCGTACACGTCGCTCTTCGTCGTCAGGTGATGTAGACCGTAGTACTCCGGGTCCATGTAACCCATCGTCCCCGCCGCCCTCATCGATATGTGTCCTCCTTCCACTTCCGGTCCCATGAGTGAAAGGCCGAAGTCCGATACTCTTGCGACCCACTCGCCGTCGAGCAATATGTTCGATGACTTGATGTCTCGGTGGATGATCGGCGGCACGGCGTAGCTGTGTAGGTATTCGATTCCTCGCGATGCGTCGAGGAGGACTTTAATTCTTATTCCCCACGAATTCAGCTTCCCTGCGTCGGCGGCACGGGTGTGAAGGTGGTCATACAGGGCGCCGTTCTTCATGTACTCGTATACTAAGAGGCGCTCTTCTTTCTCCTCGCAATAGCCCACGAAGCCTACCAGGTGTTTGTGGTGGAGGCGGGAGAGGAAAGCGAGCTCGGACTGAAAGGCGCTTTCTTTCTCCTCGATTTTTTTGGGTTTCAAGTTGGATTCACTGCGTTTGATGGCGACCTCACGGCCGTCGGCGAGTTTACCTTTGTAGACAGTGCCGAAGCTGCCGGCGCCGAGTTTGAATTCGAGGGAGAAGTTTTTGGTGGCAGAGGAGAGGTCGGCGAAGGAAAACACCTCTGCGCGGTCTTTGAAGGAGGAAGGCCCACTGCGTTGTCGCCGCATGATGCGGGAGCCATGTCGCCGGAAAATACGGGATTTTGATCCTGAGGGGGAGGTGAAGGGGCTTGGCATTGTGACGGCGGATGAGTCGGCGTGGTTTGCTGCTGCAGCGTTTTCGTTGCGGGAGATTGTGGGCTGCACGGAATTGTGGACTTTCTTTCGCCGGAAAATGCTGGCCCATACGCAATACAGGATGGCGCACAGCCCGAGGAAGGACCCAATAGACCCAATTATGGCGTAGGCAAGCCACGCTTTGCTCGTCTTCGACGACGGAGATGCTGAAGGCGGCGGCGAAGTAGGTGGTTGTGCTGCTAACGGCGGAGGAGGTGGAAACAAGGTTATAGTAGGAGCCCCGCAGGACCTGCAAATGATCCCAGAACCAGAACAGAGTGACTCTGAATCAGGAAAGATGCCACATTTACAGGAGCTCTTTTCAGAAACGCAGATTCCCGGAAGAATTTTAGGTAGAGGCAAAACGGTAACGGATGTATTGAGGCGATCTGCTTTCCAGCACAGCACTGTAAAATTCTCAGTGATCAAACCGCAGGTGAGGTCACCACCAGCGACGATAGATTCGAAGAAGGTGCCTTCCACGGGAGAATAACTCCGTTCTCCGGCGACGCCCCCCCAGCAGAGGACAGTCCCGTTCGGCTGCTTTATAGCACACGAATGATTCAGCCCGAGTGCTAGACCAGAAAACTCGAAGGCATCGCCGGATGGAGCGTTCAATTGACCGGAACTGTTGCTTCCCCTGCAGACCAACAAACCTGAAATAGTAACTCCGCAGACATGGGAGTCTCCAGCAACGATGCTCGTCATCGAAACATTCAGAAACGTGCTCTCGATGTAAGAGCCACGGCTTCCCCAGCATCGCACTTGGTTGGTATTCCCAATCCCGCAAGAAAACCCTCTACCGGAGGTAAGCGACTGGTAAACTCCGGGGGCGGCTAGCGGAAATGTTCCATCCCCACGCCACCACCTGATTACTGTATTTTTCTTCTCAAAGGCGCAAATTTGATTCTCGCCAACGCTGAGGTCAGTGATGGCAGCGGAGCCCTTATAGACTCGCTTAGCGGGGAGGAATGAGGAGGAGGAATTGGTTGCGCTCCAACAGAAGAAGCTGAGTCCGCCGGACCGAAGCCCGCAGAAGAAGTCACGGCCACCAGAGACCGACTCATAGGAGGTGTTTGGTGATACGGAGAACGCCTGCTGCCCTGCTCGCGCGCATTGAATGCCCCGCGTTTTGGCACCGGCGAGGATCCCACAGACTGTCCCTGAAGAATCCACAACAGCCATAGTGGCGGGGGGGGCCAAACCC